AAACTGTGAATCAACAAGTATATATTGAAATAACATACAAGAACAAACATGCAATAAAATTGTATTCAATGTATAGATTAAGGGAAAGAAGTTGTACCCCTTTAATTGTATTTTGGGTTTGTAATTGATTGTTTGAAGGAAGTGTTTTTGAGAGAAAAATGTTCAGGAATCAATATTAGAACAAGGTCTGTTTGTTAGAATAGATAACACAAGAATACAATTGATCAAAAATGTGTTGTGTTATAGAATGATTTGAAATCAACAGAGTCCTGGTTGACTGAGCTTGGCTAAGTCACAGAGAGAAATGTAAGTGTGGAATAATGTATTATTCCATCTACGACATTTTACGCGCGCGCGAGTTTCCTCCCTTTCCTCCACACTCGCGCGTGCGCGCGCGTTTGACACCCCTTTCTGTCTCTTTCAATCAAATACAGTAGTAAACTGGTTTTGTCGTCAGTCAAGCGACCTGCTATTCCTTCTTATGCAAATTAGATTTTTGAAATCTTCCCGCGAAATTTCTGTGACGTCACGGACAAACTGTTGTTTCAAAAAGTTAGTTGTGATCCAGACTCGGACCTAAGCAGACTCATTTTATCCATGTCAATATTTAAGGTTGACAGACGAAGGATATCTTACGATGCGACCACAAATAATTAATTCTTCGTCCTTTTTTGGCTCGTCGCACAAATCCTTCCTTGAGGCGATGCAAACACCAATAATTAATTCTTCGTCCTTCTGGACTCGCCATAATTAACTTCTCATAGACGATGCGACTGACCGCAACTAGCTCTTCGTCCTTTTGGCTAGACGTCCACAGCATTCCGTTAAAATTCTCAACAGTTAATTCAAGACCTGACCGAACTCTGAGTCCCTACTTTGAACCTGAACACAAAAAGAAAAAACAAAATCACAACACTCTCAAAATTGGACTCTGAACCAGTACCTAAAAAAATATATACATAACATTTCATTCACATTAGCAAAAACTCGCAGTGAGTATTTTTCCTTGTATGTATATTATTCTGGTAGATTGACTTTTCTGGAACCTTCTTCTTCAAGAACTTTTCCCGCCTTAGCCATCTTGTTTTCTATTTTTGGCGCGGAACATTTTCATTGATCCCTACCACGGGATAAGTTACTTGTTTTCTTTCATTTAATAAAAAAATTACTCTTGTTTGAATCCAGTCTTTTTCTGTCATTCTGTGCCGGCTATCTTAATATATTTAATTTATGCACGTGTGGACTAACCACATCACTTCGTTGTTCATTCACGCATTTTTATCTTTTTTTTACTTTGCTTGTAGACTCGGTAGTTTAGTGTGGTGTCTGGCACAAGGCCACTTCGTAATAAACCAGCACTGCACCCTACCGGGCCTGCAACAAGTTTGGTGACCCGAGACGTGAATTGAACACGCAATAATTTTGCAACCTTGCCAACATAATTCTGAGCAAGCTGAAATATAAACGTGCATAAATTCGATAGCCAGAATGACGTCTAGTGACTCTGAAGAGTTGGCGAACATGACCGCCACCGTCGCTCCTTTCCCCCCTTTCATGAAGGGAATATAAAGAACTGGTTCCTGCAAATGGAAGCTATTTTACTGTCAGAAGAATTACAGACCAAAAAACAAAGTTTGGCCACGTGGTGGCGGTTTTGCCACCCGCCATTGTCGACGAAGTATCAGACTTCCTAGAAGCCGTTCCGGAGGTAGAACCCTACGCCCGATTAAAAGAAGCTATCTTAAGAAGAATGGGCCGTACAGAGGAATCATTAATCCGTGAATTATTTAGCAACTTAACTTGCGACGGCAGGACTCCCTCACAACTTCTGCGTTTTATGAAAAGCCGACTCGGCAAAAATACTATGGCTGACTCGATTTTGAAAAGCTTGGGGCTGGATCGCCTCCCCACCACCATTACCCAAATTTTGGCGCCTATGTCTGAGAACACCCCGATCGACCAGTTAGCGGACGCCGCTGATCGTATTTTCTCTCAACTGGATCATCAAACAACGCCAGTACACAGTGCTGAAGCGACTAGTGACCACAAGTCCTTAGAAAAAACAGTGGAAGATTTACAGCGCCAAGTTAGAGATTAGCTCTAAAAAGCCATGGTCGAAGCCGGTTCCCTTCCCGCCGGCGCTTCAGGAGTCGACCACGCTCGTCCAGTCGAAACAAGGATGCCACTTCTACTATGTGTTATTACCACCGCCGATTTGGGTCTGCAGCACATTACTGCACCAAGCCGTGTACCTATACTGCGGTCGCGGAAAACAAAACCGCCAGCGAGTGAAAGCGACTAATCTCGCTGGCAAGGCATTTTCACCGAAGCTTAGTCGCCTTTTCTACGTGACGGATACACGTAATAATTTACGTTTTTTGGTTGACACCGGCGCTGCCATTAGTGTATTACCCGTGCATGATAAAGCACGTCAACAACCTTTCCAGCTCCGCTTACAAGCAGCAAATGGTTCCAGTATTAATACTTACGGTACGAAGTCCCTTACCCTAAACATAGGAATGCGACGAGACTTTACCTGGAATTTTACTGTTGCTGACGTCCAGATGCCGATATTAGGTGCCGATTTCCTGGCGCACTATGATCTCGCCGTTCGAATGAACAACCATTCCCTAACAGACAACTTAACAAGACTGTGTGTTCTTGGTACTTACTCTAAACTTACCACCACTGGCATCACCGTGGCAACTTGCCACAATAAGGAGTATTTAGACTTATTGAATCAGTACCAGGACCTCCTGCGTCCTGCTGGATCTATTGATTCAACTAAACATCAAACACAGCACTTTATTAAGACCACTGGTCAACCTGTTTTTTCCCGTCCTCGTCGTTTAGCACCTAACAAATTAAAATTCGCAAAGAAAGCTTTCGACGACATGCTACGAGAGGGTGTTATTCGTCCGTCCGACAGCCCCTACGCTTTCCCCTCTTCATTTGGTACTTAAACCAGGAAAGGAAGACTATAGAATTTGTGTGGATTATAGAAGGTTGAATTCCATTACTGTCCGGGATCGTTATCTGTAGCAAATGAGTCGACTTCAACAGTGTAAGGGACGCAACTCTTTCCGTCTGAAAATGTCTGACACTCTGCAACGCAAAGCCGTGTACACCAAACACGGGTGTAATGCCGCTCTGCCAATGTCTCCAAGCAACCTGCTTTTATGGAGCCCAGACACACCTCATTAGCATGTGTGTAACTCGACTTTGCATGACTGCACGAGACCGTGAATATTAAAAGTCACGGACGCCATCTTGGATCTTTTCTTTCCTTTCTCAACCCACAGGCCAGGCAGATACGGGAGCGTTTGTGAGGTAGGCCGTTTCTATTTTTTCCCCACATCCCCCTGATCTCATGATTTTCCTTTTGAAAGGGATATAAGATGAGACGCTTGAAAATATATATTCTTCGAAAAGGGACGCTCAAAACCCTCATCGTTGCTTGTGCTCCTGTCTGAGGTTTGAGGGTCGATAAAACACCGCGTCATTTGGGAATTCATTTTTTGATATCCGAGTCATTGCCTGATGGGGCTTTTGTGAAAAACACCCCGATTGCCTCACTGGTCTCAAATTCCGATTCACTCTGATCGTAAAGCGGTGGTTGAAACTGCGTCGCCGGACGCAGGTCCTTAACGTGACGGGCCACCACCACCCAAAACAAATTTGGGCTGATTCAAATTTCAAAGTACGCGTCCGGATCTGTTAGAATAATGGTGACTTGCTGTGCGGATTTTTAACCAGACGACAATCGCCTTATGACTCATCTCTCCGGTTACTTTCAGTTCCGTAAAATATTTTTGCCCTTCCTTGCCTTTCACTCTGACGTGGTACCTATGCAATGTTGTCTGCTGGCGCCGTACTTCTTGTGAGACATCATCCTTGAATTTTTTCTAAGCACTATATAAACATTAAACCTATTCGAAAGAAACTAAACAAAATGTCCTGGCTGCGATTTAAAAAGGACGTAACTGGTTCCGCTCGATGAAAGAATTTAACATTTGGTACTTGGGCGCACCAAAACCGTTAGGTGGAATCAGAAGCCAAAGCAAAGTCCCCGAACTGCTGAATGGTGAATGCGGTGCCATTGTCGATTTAAATTTCTCCGTTGGGGCCACGTTCGAAGGAAGATGCTGTTAACATTTGTGACGGATGATATTGGCTGCATCTTGCCGAAAACGCAGCAGCCGCCATATCGCAAACCTGAACAAATGATTACCACAATCAATGAGTGTCAGGAAATGCTCGCCGTTGTGGTGAGTAACATCTATCGCCAGCCGTAAATTTGGGTGTCCTCACGCTCAGCGTGCCGTTTCTTCCAGCGAACGGATCCATGGGTCTTTATTTTTTGATTATGGCACGCCACGCATAATTTGAAGCCTCCTGACGTTTAAATTTTTTTAATATATATTCAACCAGCTTTTTTTTGGACCGAAACACCTTTTTCCGCTTTAGGGCTCCAGGGTGCCAAAAATGAATAATGGACTTATGTGACGGGACATATAAATCAAATAGATGGGACTCACGGACGCATCGCAGGCTGGTGGTTAAAAAAGTATATAAAATTTTTTAATTTCGGCGTTAAGCCACAAACAAAATATCCTGTAAAATTTTTAAACAATCTGCTTTGTTGAGGCAGGAAATTTAAAAAGAAAAAATGGAATTGTAAAAAAGTGCGTATTCCTTACATTTTAAAGTTTCACGATCGTGTCGAGCCGTCGTCGGATAAGCATTTCAGGGTGGCTTTTAGTGTAATCTTTTCTTCCTCCCGTAAAAATTTTCAGAGATCCTTTTTATAATTCGCAAGCGAAATTAGTGAACAGACTTTTAGTTTTAATTCGATTTCTATATAGGATCGCACTAAGTTTTTTTATTGATGACAGCATCGAGTTCCTTTAGGTTTATATGCTAATAATTTTCTGGACGTAAATATCGATACGCCGGTTTCCTCAGGTTTGACGTCAACCAAAACAAGACTTTTAAATGGCTGTCAACGCACCATACAATCCGCGCTAAACAAATGTTGCGAATATGAAAGCGAGGACCAGTTTTCATCATGGTGTTGAGAGGGGCGTCGTGAACTCCGTCATCCCATCCAGTGGTGACGTAAAGATTATAGAACCGACATTATAAATTACCGCAACACGCAGCCAGCCACCTACAGATACAAAAGGTGACAAACTAACAAAATAACAACAAAAATATGCTTATCCGCGTTTTTAACGGAGGGCATGTTTAGTTCCATTCAATTCTACTAATTTTAAAATTACTTGATTTTCATCTTTCCCCATTTTTTAAATATATATTTATGCACCATCCCGTAGTCTTTCCGGTTCCTTGATTAGGGAGGTTTTTTTTTTTCAATTAGCTAATGTTCGTAAACAAAATTGATTAAAATCGTTCAATACACGTCATAGTTTTTATGCAGACAAAAATTTGCTGTTTGCTCATCCTTCGTCAGAATGGCGTCAATAATTTTAATTACAAATCTTTTGGCGCCACATTGAGTCCAAACCTTGCGGATAATTAGGTAAAATAAATGTTTTGATAAGCACAGTATTTGATAGGGCCACAGTGATTTTTGCACACATTTACTTGAAGGTATGCCTTGCGAAGATCAAAGCACAGATACATTTGATCCTGCTTGTCGCCATGAATTTTAAAAATATTTTAAACGTCCGCGCGGGCTGTAAAGGGGTATTCGTAATTTTTCAGTTCTCGATAGTCGAGCACCGGCCTCACCTATTTTGTTTGTTAAAAAGAACCGCCATTGGCGGGATCAGGCCCGTTTAGGGGCCCCAATTCCTTCTCTGGATAAGGAACCAACCATCCGAAAATCCAGGCTCAGATAAACTCCTTGTCGTACTCCGCACGATTACCGGGGGGTCCCTTGCTCTCCGGCACATTGTTGTACAGCTTCTCTGGCGGTTGATCGTCTGACCATTTTCAAGATACCGTCAAGGAGTTTTGTGCGCTGGTCGAACTCCGCACGTAAAGGTTGGCCGTTCCAGCTCCATTGCTGCACCTAAAGCAAGACCTGTTTCAGTGAAACGCGCCGGACCCTCTTCGACAACATGGACGCCATATAATTTTTTTGATGGCGTATTTTCCCCAAAGCAGATCATAGCCGAGCAGACACCCTCCGTCCACGACCAGGGGGCTTTTCTACAGCTACATGCAGGCCCATCGATATTTGCGCGGATATTTTTTTTAAACCCACAAGATTTGTTTAGCGAGCCCCCTATATTATTTTCAGAAATGGAATATTTTTTCTTGTCCCACGTGTCACAACATATTATTTAAAAAAAGGGTAGTAAATAAATTGTTTTAGCGCGTTCTTTTAAAAAGCAAAATCCGCACGCTCATTGCGGGTAGCGCCTTGTTCAGCGGCGATCTGGGAGAAGACTGGCGAATGACCCTAAATTGCCCGTTTCCCGGACGACTTTTTATTTCATACGTGGCCAATTTTGTCAGATACCAGAAAACGCATACGTCTCCGTTTTTCTCGGAAATTTGTATCCTTCGCACCGCTTCGGCAGTCTTTGAGAATGGTTCAGTGAATAAAAATTTATTATAGCAGTTATGTCCTCAGTTGGCGGTGCGGGCCTTTTTTCTTTAGTTTAAGATCCACAGCTGCTGGACCCCCTCCGCGTCGTCTTTTAGAATATTCGAGCATCCTCTGGCCAAAGTATGAGGTCACAAGCCCCAGCTCATTGAGTTTTTGACGATATCGTAGGAAAGTCGACTTGCGTTGTCCGGACAGGGTGAAAGAAAGGCGCATCCTAGGATTTGGTGTACTAAGTCCACCGAATATAAAGGCAAGTTTCCTCAAATCGGCCAGAAAGACATGTACCTGTTTCATCTGGTCCAAGCCGTCGTTCGGTAAACGACGGTTGGTCCAGGCGACAAAGGGTTCCAGTCAGGTTGCACCAAATGGACTGCGTATAAAGCTTGTTTTATTTCTCCCAAGTCTGCGTCATCCAGATAGTATATGGGATACACAGCGTAAGGTCCTTTGGTGAGTCTAAGAGGGATGACCAGTGCGGGATTAATTTTACAGTCGTTGCAGGTGGCAGACTGGTCGCTCGAAATGGTTTTTCCCTGGTCTCGGTTTCCAACGGGCCAGCGGGGTTGTCGATGTTGGTATTAACTTCAAATATCGAATCTGTCCATTGTAATGTCTGCTGAAATAGTTTGTAGCAAATGAGTCGACTTCAACAGTGTAAGGACGCAAAAAAATTTCCGTCTGAAAATGTCTGCCCACGATGTCAACGCCAAAGGCGTGTAACCAAACACGGGTGTTAATGCCTTGACCGATATTTATTTTGTAAAAATACAAAATTGTGGCACAAGGCCAAAGGGGAGGGGTAGAGGCTGGTCTTCACTAACTATCTTATACCTAGCTAATCAGATTCACGACCCATTCATACATTACAATTTACTCATTCACCACAAGAACTCATCCATCACCGTTCAATTTCCATCCACCATAATACCACATCCTCTCCAGGGGAACCTACAAAAACGCGCCCCACGCCATAAAAATTTGATGAAGATAACACATATATACTAAAATTCTAATAGTGAAAAAATGAGAGGGAGGGAGATGAACCCAATAATAAACTAAAATCAAAACAAAATGCAAACTAAATATAACTGATGTTAGTAGGGACCGTCCAACCCTAAAAAAAAAAAAAAAAAAAAACAGAGAGACCTCTGTATTCTGCCCAGAGGACAGAATCAAGAGGCGCTCTCGCTAAGGGAGGTGGGAAAAAGGATAAAATATTATATGGGCATGGGAAAGTATAAAAGCTGACCCAGTCGAGATGAAAAGGGGGGCAAAAAACAAACTGGGGAGGTTGGGAATCTCGACTTGGATCATAACCAAAGAGCAGCCGGGATACAGGCCAGGACCAACATTTACTCACATTAACTAGGTACACTGAAGCTT